TGCAGAAGGCTGCGGCTGGCAGCCTCTGGGCTGTGGGCTGCCTCTGCTCTATACTATAAATGTTTTTGTAACATTTGTTATGCTGATTTTCATATTAAATGCCTTTTTTAAGTCACTTTTGCCTGCTAGTTCTACCTCTATTTTTTGAGTCCATTGGATCAGTTTCAACCGACCATGAAAAGAAAGTATTTGTTCCCGAGAGATTAAACCGCGGGCAGAGCCCAGGAAGGCGAGCAGCCGGCGGGAGGAGGGAGACCCTGCCGATGCCCTGGGAGAGCTGGCGGCCTGAGCACAGCTCCGGTTGGAGGCTGGAGGAAGAATCCGTGGTGGGGAGGCAGAGGGAGAGGCCGTGAACATCCTGACCACAGAAGGTGCCTCCTTGGCGCTCCCGTGTTCTTCAGACACTGGCAAGTCCTACTGCAAGACAGAAATCCATAGGAAATGAGGTCTCATTAGTTCCACTGTCCACAGCTTGCTCATGGCTCCACCAGCACTTCCAAGCGCTTGGTTTGGTCGAAGGGCTACTGGAAACTGGGCAGCCATCTTCCCTGAGTCACCCTGCCTTTCCACCTCCCCAGGGTCGGGGTGCTTCACGGGCCAGGGCACTGCCGGAGGAGGTGATGTCCAGCTGCCCGTCGTCGTACAGGCATCCAGCCTGCGTCTGGTCTGCTGGCACGCTGAAATCCATCTGGATCTTCTTTGTGTTTTTGCCAGAGATTTTACTAACCAGAGAACTGTGGCAGTAGAAGAAGGCTGTACCAGCTTGTTATTCATATCCTCTCCTCGGTAAGAAAGAGCCAGAGAGCATGTTTTAGATGTAGCCCATGGTCAGATGGTGTGGGGAGTGCTGGAAGCCTGGGATGGTCTGGCAGAAAAATAATTTCCCTTTTTAAAACCACTGAACAGTCCTTGTTCCTCCACACTCCAGCTGGTTACCTTGGCTGTGCAGCCCGGGCATGGAGACGTGGCCAGATCTGCTCCCGATGTCTCCCACCACCCCTGGGTGAGCCCCTGCTGCTGCCTTAGCCACCCTGGGCGAGAGACGGGTGCTGCCAGAGGAGAGGGGCTGGGAACCTGATGGGACATCCTGTCCTCATGCCTTGCTGGCAGCTTTGCAGCTTATTTGTGGTTCAAAGCCACTGTGGGGGGTGTTTGGGCGGGAGGGAGCATGCTCGGACCAGGAGCAGAGGCAGCAGGGCTGGGCAGGGGAGAGGGTTGGTGGGGCTGCCTAGGGCTGGGGCTGCCCCTTGGGGCTGGGGGCCCGTTGGGGGAAAAGTTCCCCCTTCAAGCGCATCACTAGGCAACAATTACCTGCATGCTTGGGCAGCGCTGTTCGGTCCGTGCGGACGGCAGCTCGGGTTCTGCCGAGCCGAAAGCGCAAAAAAGCCTGCTCCTCCTGCCCGTGCGACGCTGCGCCTCCACCGCCCATCTCCCCGTCCCCAAACGCAGCTGCCCTCTGACACACGGTTTTCCAAACGCGATGCATCTCTCCGGAATTGCTTTCAAACCGTTCCTAGCAAGAAACTGCGCTGCTCGCTTTGCCGGTGGCCCTGTGCGGCCGGCGGCAGCGTGGGTGAGCGGCGAGGCTGTGGGTGCAGCCCTGGC